ATTATATTATGTAGGATTATTTTAACATTAAGTTTAAGTATGAATATGAGGTTACATTTTTTTTTTTTTTATATGACTATGACAGCAGAAATGGTTACTTAATTTCACTGATTCAGTAAACTTTTTTTTTTATATATAAACCTATTATTATAATATTTCACATGTAAGTACTGAGGACATGGGTCATTCAAAAGCTTACATGTTATGGTATTTCATATTAATTTTATTTTACTATAGGTGTTATTTTTGGATTCTTTTTAATGCGTGTAGTATTATTTAAAAAAGAAATTTAGGTTAGAATTCATTCAATTTAACTACAATTTTAATTACAAATTCAAAATTACAACTTTAAAATTTTAAAATATTTTCATTGTTTAGTTTTAATAGACTATATTACTTTATAACAGAAGGAAAATTACTCATATTAAGTAAAATTATTTTTCCATATCAAAGTATATGTAAATTATTTTTTTTTTTTTAAATTTAAATATTATTTAAGTAATATTAATGGCACTTACTACAAAACTAGCTAAGTCATTTCTCAGATTAAGTAAACTTTATTTATTTATTAATTAATTAATTTATTTCAAATATATGTAACGTAATTAATAAAGTTTCATATGTATGTATAAATAACAGGTTAGAATTCATTTTATTTTACTACAATTTTAATTTCAATTTTAAAATTACAACTTTAAAATTTTAAAATATTTTCATTGTTAGTTTTAGACTATATTACTTTATAACAGAAGGATAATTACTCATAGTAAGTAAAAAAATTTTCCATATCAAAGTATATGTAAATTACAATTTTTAAACTTTTAATTTAGATATTATTTAAGTAATATTAATGGCCCAGACTACAAAACTATCTAAGTCATTTCTCAGAATTAGTAAACTTTATGTATTAAATCAAGTTTAAGTATGTATATGAGGTTACATTTTTTTTTTTTTTTTTTTATATATATAAACCTAGTAATATAATGTTTCTCATGTAAGTACAAGGGACATGGGTCATTCAAAAGCTTACATCTTATGGCATTTCATATTAATTTTATTTTACTATATGTGCTTTTTTGGGATTCTTTTTAGTGCGTGTAGTATTATTTAAAAGAAATTTAGGTTAGAATTCATTCAATTTAACTTTAATTTTAGTTTCAATTTTAAAATTACAAACTTTAAACTTTAGAAATATTTTCATTGTTAGTTATATTAGACTTTATTACTTTATAACAGAAGGAATATTACTCATAGTAAGTAAAATTATTTTTCAATATCCAAGTATGTGTAAATTACAATTTTTAAACCTTTATATTTAAATATTATTTAAGTAATATTAATGGAACTTACTACAAAATTAGCCAAGTCATTTCTCGGATTTAGTAAACTTTATTTATTAATTAATTTATTTATTTATTTTAAATATATGTAACCTAAGTAATAAAGTTTCATATGTATGTACCAAGAACAGGTTAGAATTCATTTTATTTAACTACAATTTTAATTTCAATTTTAAAATAACCACTTTAAAATTTTAAAATATTTTCATTGTTAGTTTTAATTGACTATATTACTTTATAACAGAAGGATAATTACTCATAGTAAGTATAATTATTTTTCCATATCAAAGTATATGTAAATTACAATTTTTAAACTATTATATTTAAATATTATTTAAGTAATATAAATGGCACAGACTACAAAACTATCTAAGTCATTTCTCAGATTTAGTAAACTTTATGTATTAATTAATTAATTTATTTATTTTAAATATATGTAACCTTAGTAATAAAGTTTCATATGTATGTACAAAGAACAATGGGTCATACATTACCTTACATCGTCTAGCTTTAGTTATAATTTCATTTTTCAGTAGGTGTTTTATTGGATTCATTCAAGTGTTTGTAGTACATTTATTATAGAGGTATTTCGGTTAAGATACATTTTATTTAACTACAATTTTTAAACGGTGTTTATGTTTTAATACGTTTTAACCACAATTTTAAATTTTAAATATAAGTTTATAACATTTTTCCTGCCATTCCAATAGACTTTTCTTTTCTTTTTTTTTTTTTTTATATATTATTTAAGGAAAATTTTGACAATGACGGCATATAATAGCTATTTCATTTCTCTGATTCAGTAAATTTTTATTTTTTATAAACTTAGTAATATATAGTTTCTCTTGTATACATAGAGGACACAGGTCGTTTAATGATCTACAAATTCTAGCTCTTCTTATTAACTTCCATTTTACTGTAGGTGTTTTATTTGATTTTTAGATGCCAGAAATATTTTGAGAGAGATGTTTGATTTTTATATTTATTTATTCTAAATGAAGTTTGATGTTGGTTGAATCTTTTTTTTTGAATTCATGGCTAGTGCAACCTATATATATTTTTATGTTATCAGGACTTTCAATCGAAGAGATATTGCATTGGTATACTAATGATTCAGTGCAACATTTATTTTGTAGTGGGCAATTTTGAGGGTTTCGACAATTACATAGTTTTTGTTTATTTACATCAGTTTTTATCTTAATTTTTCCATTGTCTAATTTTTTTTGGTTTTGGTATAAGTGTTTATTTAAGATATTAGCATTATGGTTCTTAATGATTTTTTCTAAGTTTTTTGTACAGCTATAACTTAATTTTAGTGTGTTTTTATTGAAAATAGTACTTAGTTTACTTTCACAAGGAAAATGCTTGACTATTAATGTGAGGAATTTATGTCCTAATCTGTTCTTTACCATTTGGTTATATGGGGGAGTATACCAAATAATTTTCCTACATCTGTTTTTTCTACGCTTTCCATTTTCATTTTTTATATACGCTAGTTTTGGGTTTTTGTAGCCACTATCTTTTAGAGCCTTATTATAGCCATTGAGCACTATTTTGTAAAAATAAAATATCTATAAGAACACCGGATTTTATATTTACTGTTCTTTCTTTATATTATATATATATATATATATATATATATATATATATATATATAATTATTTATTTAAAAATATGATTCCAAATCGCTACATAAGAGGTCTCATGTTTCAAAACAAGAGCCGAAAACTTTAAATTAAATTGAGTTGAAAGTAAAATTTTCTATATATTTTCTATATATTTTCACATATATATATATATATATATATATATATATATATATATATATATATATATATATATATATATATATATATATATATATATATATATATATAGGGATGCCAAAGTTAGTATGACGCCAAAATGGTGACAGTCAAGCAGAGTGTGTGGTTATATATTGGCATAGGAAAGAACAAGCGTTTGGAGGTATACAGCTGAGGCAGATTTTAGAAGAAACCAGAAGCGTAATCCTAAACAGAAAACAAAGGAAGAGCCTCTACTCCTCTTCAAAAAATAGGGGAGGAGTATAAACCGGGCGATAGGCAAATCTATTGGTTGGTGCAAAAATAATGTCGTTTTCTCTTTTGAAATTGAACGTCAAAAACGTCATTATTTTTGCACCAACCTAATATCTACTGCTATTAAAATAAAAGTACAAGCATAGAAAAAAGGTTACTAAGATTTAACTTAGTTAAAGTCGAGATGTCCATTAGAAATTCGGACTTGTATTAAAACTGGCAGAGACCTACTCCTGAAAGTACTTTAAAAGAATTCCTGGGTTTGACTTCCAGTTAGGATATTCCAAAGAATGTACATTCAGATAACTTATTTGGAGAGTCGATCAGCGGGCCACAGAACTTTTTGACCATGCGATGTTTAACAGACATTCTAGTATATTAAGAGGGTATCAGGTAGTAGAGGGGGTCTGTCACTAGAATCATGAGTGAGGGGCCAGTAGTAGTCCCGGTGTTTTTTTTAGCTGGTTTAGTTTTATCTCTTTAGTTGCTTATAGTCATGGTGTGTTATTTTGGTAAGGAGACGCCTTGGGTAGTAGTGGCAGTTGGTCGTCTAATGTAACATGTGCGGGGAGGGAACTGACGTAGACTGCAAAATAGTGTGGCCTCGGGGTTGCCCGCCGGAAGTGCTTGCAGGGACGTCTTTCAATGCGCGACACGGCATTGCAAGCACCCCGATATTATGAGACTGTTTATCAGAGCAGTCTCCCAAGACGCTACGCAAGAGTCCGGGCTCCTAAATAGCTGTCGGGAGCAGCAACCAGAAGGCAGTAAACCCGGCACCCTAAGCATGAAGAGACGTTATCACCATCCATATATATCACGCACACACGCCAAAAATATCATGACCGCACCACCATGAGGTATGAGAAAAGGAAAGGTACTAAGAACTCCTTCCTTAACAGGAAATAAGGGATGAGCATCTACTCCTGTTCAAGAGAAGGGGGAGGAGTGTGAACCGGGCGATAAGCAAATCTATCTACTGCTATTAAAATAAAAGAACAAAAATAGAAAAAAGGTTACTAAGATTTAACTTAATTAAAGTGGAGATATCCATTGGAAATTCAAACAGGAATTAAAACTGGCAGAGAGCTACCCCTGAAAGAACTTGAAAGAAAACATATTCCTGGGTTTAACTTCCAATTAAGAATGTACACTTCAGACAACTTATTTAGAGAGTCGATCGGCGGCCTAAGGAACATTTTGGCCATGCGATGTTTCACTGACATTCTCAGGTGGGGAGTAGCTAATAGGTAGGAGGTTTTCTTCAGGATAGATGAGCGAGCTGTGAATGCATCTGTCCGAGATTAGAGGATTTGACTTTTATCTGATCATTTTCAGTCCGTTTCCTTTAAGCTGCTAATTTGTTGGTGAGTCTAGTGAAGTGGTCAGTGAGAAGATAGAAAAGGCGGTAGAAAAGTCCAGTGAACACGTGTCCGTAAGGAAGGATCAGGAACGAAACTGGCGTGCATGAAGTGATTGTCCCAAGTTGTTGAGTGAAATGAGGACGGACGTTAGGATAGTGAAGAGAAGGATAGCGTTGGGGGGGGGGGCGGTAGATTGGTAGGTGAATATATAATAGGCAAAGAACAAGAGAAAAGTGTCAAAAGTGAAGAAGAAGAAGAAGAAGAAGAAGAAGAAGAAGAAGAAGAAGAAGAAGTATAAAAATATTAAGGACGGGAAAGAGGAAAGCAAGGTTAAAAGAGTAAAGGCGGGAAAAAAGTAAATGTATAAAATGTAAAAGCGGTAAAAAAAGAAAATGAGTAACAAAGAAAGTGTAAAAGCGGAAAAAAGAAAATGTGTAAAATGAATAAAGCGGGAAAACGGAAATGTGTAAAAATGTAAAGGCGAGAAAAAAGAAAATGTGTAAAAAGCGTAAGGGCGGGAAAAGAAAATATGTAAAAAGAATAAAGGCGGGAAAAAGGAAATGTGTAAAACGAGCAAAGGCGGGAAACAGAAAATATGTAAAATGAGTAAAGGCGGGAAAAAGAATCAAGGCGGGAAAAAAAGAAAATGTGTAAAAAGAATAAAGGCGGGAAAAAATTACTAAAATGGATAAAGGCGGGAAAAAGAAAATCCATAAAAAGAATATAAGCGGGAAAGAAGAAAATGTGTAAAAAAATAAAGGCGGGACAAAGAAAATGTGTAAAAATCGTAAAGGCGGGAAAGAAGAAAATGTATAAAAAGAGTAAAGGCGGGAAAAAAGAAAAGCGGCAAATCTAATTGTATTAAAAATACAGAACGAAATAGATAGGGCAAAAAGAAAATGTCGTAAAAGGCAATGAAAATATGAATATAGATGAAAGGAGCTATCAAGAAAAAAAATCATGGCGTCGGAAAAGACATAAATGTTAGAAGTGCAGGAAAAGAAAAGGCGGAAAGAGAAAAGAAAAAAAAAGAAACGGAGTTAAAGAAAGAAAGAAAGAAAGAAAGAAAGAAAGATAAATTATTGAATAAAAATGCAGATGGATTAAAAAACGACTGGGGGAATTAGTTATTAAAAAGAAAGAAAGAAAGAAAGAAAGAAGAACGAGAAAGAAAGAAAGAAAGAAAGAAAGAAAGAAAGAAAGAAAGAAAGAAAGGAAAAAGAAAGAAAGCCGAATAATTATTAAAAAGAAAGAAGTAAAAAGAAAGCAACAATGAAAACAGACAATCGAGCAAGAAAGAAAGAAAGAAAGAAGACAGAAAGAAATGAATAAAAATAGCTAAAAAAACAAATGACGTAAACGGTTATAAGAAATAAATAAATAAATAAATAAAAGAAAAAAAAGGAAGAAAAAAGAACGAGAAAGAAAGAAAGAAAGATGAATAATTAATAAAATGCAGGATGGATAAAAAAACGACTGGGGAAATCAGTTATTAAAAAGAAAGAAAGAAAGAAAGAAAGAAAGAAAGAAAGAAAGAAAGAAAGAAAGAAAGAAAGAAAGAAAGATAGAAAGAAAGAAGAAAGAAAGAAAGAAAAAAAAAAGAAAGAAAGAAAGAAGAAAGAAAGAAAAAGAAAGAAAGAAAGAAAGAAAGAAAGAAAGAAAGAAAGAAAGAAAGAAAAACGAATAATGAGTAAAAATCGAATATACATTAAATACGACTGAGGGAAATAATTATTAAAAAGGAAGAAGCAATAATGAAAGCAATAATGAAAAGAAACAATCGAGCAAGAAAGTAAGAAAGAAAAAAGAAAGAAAGAAAAAAAAAGAAAGAAATAAAGAAAGAAAAAAAAGAAAGGAAGAACAGTAGTAAATATTTGAGAAGAAAAATGAAACGTCAAGCCGTAAGAATGATATCGTTAAAAGGAATGAAAGCAAGGATATGGCGGCCGGTTAGAGAAAGAATGGAGAAAGAAAAGCAAATCGTGAAGACAGCTGATGGCGTTTAGCTTTACAGCCGATGCGCGCAATGTATAGAATTCTGGATTAATGTCAGATCCCCCTCCCCTTCGCAATCCAGTCATGAGACATATTCTTCTGATTCGAGATGCTACGTTTTAAATTCTATCATATGGTCTTCCATACAATATGGCATATATATAACTTGATTTAATCAGGTGCATTATCACGACAAGCAATGTTGATTACGGCAAATGTCAAACTGTATTCATTGCTTCCAGAAATTTCTCTTTGAAGTTGACAGGTTTTATATCAGTCCATACTTTTGTGATCTGGGTCTTGGTAACAAAATTTTTCAGTCGATATATTCCCCAGCCTTCTTCGATATGAAAAGAAATAAAAATCTTATCAAGAAAACCCACATGGAAAAAAGAAAGTTGTTTTTTTGTTTAACGGCATATCAACACCACTATGGGTTATTTAATGCTGAAATAAAAAAAATATTTTGTACGCTGTTTTATTTTATTTTTGGAGATGATAATGTTCTTAGCGATACAAGTTTTATTAATTAACCCATAGCTGGGGGAGAAGATGTGGTTTCAGCTCTTTCTCAAGCGTAGTTGTGCGTAAGTGAATATAACAAACAAAACAAATTGGAACGCGGATCTTCGATTAACACTTCGGAGACATTATCCATTACACCCCCTGCAAATCCAAGCTTGCAGAAGCGGATATTCTGAAGCAGTTACCCATTTAGGCAATGACTATGCTAGATGTTGCTTAACATCGGTGATCGTACGGGAAGCTGCGTTTCAACGTGATATAACAGTAACCCCGAGAAGGAGTAAACATGGTTTGTAAGAAGACACAATGCATGGTTGTCATTTAAAAAGGAACAGGTCAACATGCAAATAACAAAATGGAGATACAAAAGTCGAAAAAAAAATATTACCAGCTATACTTTTTTGAAAAAAATAATATTACCAGCTATACGTTTTTGAAAAAATATTACCAGCTATACTTTTTTGAAAAAATAATATTACCAGAAATACATTTTTGAATAAATATTATCATCAGCTTTACGTTTTGCAAAAATAATATTACCAGCTATACTTTTTGAAAAAAAATAATATTACCAGCTATACGTTTTAGAAAAATAATATTACCAGCTATACTTTTTGAAAAAAAAAATATTACCAGTTATACGTTTTAGAAAAAATAATATTACCAGCCATACTTTTTTGAAAAAATAATATTACCAGCTATACGTTTTTGAAAAAATAATATTACCAGAAATACATTTTTGAATAAATATTATCATCAGCTATAAGTTTTGCAAAAATAATATTACCAGCTTTACGTGTTGGAAAAATAATATTACCAGCTATACTTTTTGAAAAAAAAAAAAAATTACCAGCTATACGTTTTAGAAAAAATAATATTACCAGAAATACGTTTTTGAATAAATATTATCATCACCTATACTTTTTGAAAAAAATAATATTACCAGCTATACGTTTTTGAAAAAATATTACCAGAAATACGTTTTTGAATAAATATTATCATCACCTATACTTTTTGAAAAAAATAATATTACCAGCTATACGTTTTTGAAAAAATAATATTACCAGAAATACGTTTTTGAATAAATATTATCATCACCTATACTTTTTGAAAAAAATAATATTACCAGCTATACGTTTTTGAAAAAATAATATTACCAGAAATACGTTTTTGAATAAATATTATCATCACCTATACTTTTGAAAAAATAATATTACCAGCTATACGTTTTGAAAAAATAATATTACCAGAAATACGTTTTTGAATAAATATTATCATCACCTATACTTTTTGAAAAAAATAATATTACCAGCTATACGTTTTTGAAAGAATAATATTACCAGAAATACGTTTTTGAATAAATATTATCATCACCTATACTTTTTGAAAAAAATAATATTACCAGCTATACGTTTTAGAAAAAATAATATTACCAGAAATACGTTTTTGAAAAAATATTACCTCCTATACATTTTTGAGGAAAAAATAGAAATAGAAATAGATTTTTGACAAAACAAAAGTATTACCAGGAAAAAAAAAGTTGTCGTCATTAAATGACCCATTGCGGTTGATATGCCGTAAAACAAACTAAACCAAACCAAAATCAAAGAATTACGACAGCTTAAATATCTGGGAAATGTTTTAACAGAGGATGGAAAGTGCGGCACCGAAGTCTGAAGGCGCATTGGAATAGCGAAAGATGTTTTCCAAAAGCCAAGGAAAAGTATAAAGAAACAGGAAAAAATTCGTTAGAAATAAAGCAAAGATTACTGAACTGTTGCGAAATATCATCCCACCTATATGGCAGTGGATGCCGGCTTTCACCCGGTAGGATAACCCAGATGCGCATTTTTGAACAGGATGATTAAAAACTGCATTCCAAGGGACGTCACGAAGGAAATCACGGAACGAGTCCCAGTCCGCTCGTTGACAGATGAAAGATATTCTGTTGGTAGTTAGTTCTTGGCTGGTTAGGAATCGGAAAGAGACGTTTACAGACTCTACTGCATGATCAGAGTCGCCAAGAGGGCAGAGCTGCATGGTACGATATGAGTTAGGGATAGAAATAAAAAAGGGATCTAGAAGAGAGGCGTGTCCATCAGGGTTGCTTGAGAGTTATTGAGAAGTCCAGAATTGGATGCAAAGCAAAGAGTACTGAACTGTTGCGAAATGTCGTCCCTCCTATATGGCAATAAATGCCGAAAGAGGCTTGAAGCAATAGAAATGTAGTTCTACAGAAGGATGATGAGAATACCGTGAACGGAGCATGTGAGCGACGAAGAAAAAAATAGAAACGAAAAGGATACTTATACTTACCATCAGAAATATAGTGTCATTTTCCTAGGCCACATAATGAGGAAAGACGGCTTGGAAAATTTGACACTCACAGGACATATTGAAGGCAAGGGGGACAGAGTAAATAAGTGCATAACCTTCCTAGCAAGCAGGTGTAAATGTGCAGAACAGGATTCAGGGGAGATAACAAAAAGACAAAATTTACTAAAAGCCACAAAGAACAGGAAATTGTGGGGAGCCATGATCGTCAACTTTCTGAAGGGACAAGGCAAAAATCTATAGACAAAGCTATAGACAAAGAATGAAGAAGGGTCACTAATTAAACCTTTTTCGAACAGTGGGCCGCACGAAGAACAGTTCATCATAAGCTGGACTGCACTAATAAAAAAACAACAACAAACAATCAAGGTCAGCTTTCATTAAAGATACCGCAGCCATTTTTACAACCACAGAGCATGCGCATAAGCATCTACTTTAAAAATGGAGAAAAGTCGATTTTTTTTCTATACAGAAAAGATTCCTTCTATAATTAAAGGAAAAAAGACATCCTGATATAAATATTATCTCTGATGACACACACTAATTAATACACACTGCTGTGTGTGATTTGTTTCTAAATTATTTATTTGTCGATAAAAAAAATTTAAAAGAAGTATACTTATTCTCTAGAGAAAAATAATTATCCTTAACATTTTCCTATTCCTGAAGTAAAAGGTGTTTACACTTATGATCTTCCTTAGGGAAAATCGCCAATGGTTCAAAATGCTTACAATACTACCTTGAAAGAAACGTTACAAAACCCAAGTACTTAAACATTGTTTATATCTATCACTATTGTATCTCGTGGTTTTCGAGATAACAGAGGGAAATGAATAAGGAAATAAAATAAATAAGGAAATAAAATAAGGAAAGGCAAACTCGTAAGTAATTAAACAAAATGTTTACTACACGAAGTTACAATTAGCAATTGACCTAATGCCAAATTCGGTATTTATCCGAGCTCCCCGAGAGGGATATAGCACAAGGCTGGTTTAACGTGGGTCTTTCCGAGCCGGTACCTCGGGCAAAAATTTCGGCATAGCCTCGTCTCGGTTTTTCTCTGCCCGAAGGCAGAGTCTCCGACAAGCGCTAAGAACATAGCGCGCGG